AGGGACTGGCTGCAAAGTGCATCCCAAAAAACGTTCTCTGATGGGGACCGAGACGTTCTCAAAATGGAAACACGGATGAAGCATGCCTGTGAATCACTGTATGAACTGGCAGAAGAAAGGGAGGAAAAAAGCAGCATTGCTAACTAGCTGTTTGACGGAGATTGCCATTAAAGAGTAGATGCTGATCAGCAGCGTCAGGATGTGTGCTAGAGCCCCGTATCCCTGCTGCAGCCTCTAAAGGTCGACGAGCTTATGAATCTCAGAGCATCATCAAGGTAGAGAAGCAGAGTGCATGCCAACCCCAGTCACCAAGTATGAAAGAAAAAAATCCAGTTTCTCAGATGTACCGTAGGGTTGCTTCACACCACAAAGCAATAGGAACGATATGAACCTCCTGCAGTTTCAAGAAGGGACACAGTTATGTGACTGCTCTGACTAAAGCATCTTTCCCCAGGCAGAGAAGTGTCTTAAATTCCATATTGCTGCAAGGTGCACGTCACCTCTTAATCTGGTAATAAAACTTTCAAGCAATATCATGCCACTACTAGGGTGGAACTTTTTTTTTTTAATATATTTTCCATCAGAAGATTATTTGGTCCTACTCCCTCTCAGCTCATTTACATTAGCATAAGCCAGGAGCAGCTCAAAATTAGAAGGATTATGCCAAATGTATGTCATACCTAAATCAGACCCATTCTAGTCATGTGTTTCAGAAATCTTAGAGCAATTTCTGGTCACAAACTCATTTTTGGTTAACCTTAAGCAGTTAGTATCACAGTCCATTTTCAGACTGTAAATTCATGTTTTACTCAAGCAGCTCCCCTTAAAACACAGTAACCAACCCCTCTGCAGCTCTTTTGTATTTGCCCTTAACAGGCTATTCAAAACATAAAACTAAGGATGTCTGATTAGAGCAAGAAGTACATCCTCATTACAGGGGGCTTAGACAGTGCAAAGCACATCTATAATATTTTGCAGCATTAGCAGATGGGTTAAAATCACATTTTCAGACTGAACCAAATCCTCTTGAACTCATGTAGGTTAGTTTTCTGAAACCAGAGGTCCTTGTTAGTGTCTTCCTTAATCTCTCCTGGGAGAAGGACATATATCCCTGTACATCATCTTAGCGCTGGTGGGAGAGGGTTTACCCAACTTGATGGGAACGGCGGGTTCCTAGTCTATGACAGCGTACTAGAGACACAGAGGCAGAAAAGGGCTGAGCTGCCCCTGAGCAGGGATGCACATCACCTCGGTCCCATAGTTGCACATAGGATATGTGGCTGGCACGCAACATGTGTATGGTACATTGGTATGGTTTGTTCCCTGGCAGCTCCTTCTGTGGGGACGCGGTCCTGCCTTCACCAGAGAGTCCCTGTTCTGACCAGTCTGAAACTCACTGAGGCTGGCAGACCAGAGTCACTGCCCAACACACCATCCTCTTTTGCCCTACTTTTGTAAAAAACCCCAAACCATAGCAAAACAACAAAAAAAACTCTACAAAAAACAACAAAAAAACCCCAACATCCAGGTATTCCCACCTCCTCCTAAGCAGTAGCCAAAACACTTGTGTTACCAACACCTTTCTAGCTCCCAATGCAACACACAGCGCTGTGAGGGCTGCTGTGGGGAAATTAACCCCATCCCGGCCAGTCCCAATACACCTGCTCAGAGGTGAGCAGGTTTGGGGGGGCTGTTGCTGCTCCTCCCCAGGTGTTTGGGTGTTATGGGTGCTGTGGCAGGAAGGCAAATTCACACCAGGTGATGAGCAAGGGAGTTTGGCATCACAGGATTGTTGCCGAGAGTTTCTGTGACCTTTAGCGCTTACATCAGAAAGATGAGGAAACAAGGAAAAGATTTAGCTAACTTCCCCCCACCGAATACTCCCTCACTGTCCACGAGTTCCCACTGCTACCAGTGTATGATTCATGCTACAACACACCAAACTGGTCCAGGGCAAACATCATTAGAGTTCCTTAATTCTGATGTAGTTCTCCTGTTAGAGCACAGCTGGAAGACACGGGTCAGGGATGGTGGGAGAGGATAATAAAAAAATTAAAAATTTAAAAAAAAAAAAAAAGAGAAAAAAAAGAAGAGAGTAGAGAAGTTCCCTGGAGATCCGATGACAGCGTATTGAAGTTATTGGAAGGACTCCCATTGACTGCAGTGCAGTTTGGGTCAGTCCCCCTGACGCACCGTGGAGGTTCTGCAGTCCTTTGAACTCAATATTATTTCAGTGAGTCTATTAATGTTTGGCTGCGTTAAATGTATTAGAATAATATTGCATTTGAAATAGAGCCACTTATAATTCAAAACTATACAGCCTGGGCACAGGACAAAACATTGCGGTATGTGTTCAGTAACATGTTTGGTGCTGTGCAGCCGTTCTATAGAGTGCATTTAACCATGTTTGGTGTATTATTCTTCACATGCATTCACAGTAGACAGCAAAGCAGCAGTTATGGGGTATGCTGTGAATGCATATTAACAGCAGTACGCATTTGCATATCATGGATCCATAATACAGAATGCGCAGTAAAATCCTTATGAAAAGTTATTATGCATGCACAGTAGAGGTTTTTAAACCTTGATATCTCAGCTATTTTGTTTCTCTGCTATTTATTTGAAAATATTAAAAAGGTCAAATGATGGATTAAGAATCTGCAAAAATGTAATGTTGCTACTACAGAGGGAATCCTTCAGCACAAACGAATTCATTTATTTTGTTTTTAGTAGCATTTTTACAATAACATTTGAGTAGGTTTTTTTAAAAAGCCTACTTGAGCAATAAAAAATGAGGGAGAAAATATTTTTATAAAAGTGCATTTTGGAGGCTGGGTGATATAACTGGAAATTTTGACGGTCCTTCTCTTAACACAGAGCCCCTACAATGTCAATCTTTCCTTCAATTTCTCACCGTATTTTTAGTATGCATTGAAACAGGGTTTGGTTCCTCAGGACTTTGCATATTTAGATTATCATGCATTGTATAGTACCCAGAATATGCAAAATCCTTGAAAAGGTTGACAACCCTTAGGACCTTCCACAATATAAATCTTAATACAGAAATTCCTATTGAGAATAATGGGATTCTACCCTCACCTCTGTTACACAAATTGTAATATTTGGGGTAAAATGAAGCGAATGTTATGAATCATACAGCTCTTGCTCCTTTTGAATAGTTGCCACTGAAGTTTTAGCATCTTTGTCACTTCAAATATATTTGCCTTAAAAAAAAAAAAATTAAAAAGGAGGTCTGAGCTTCGTAAAGAATGAGTGACCTGATATTTCTCATTTCTGTGAAAAGAAAAAAAAAAAGTAAAGTTTGGGATGGTGGATTTTTTTTTTAATGAAAGGCTTTAAAATCATTGAGCACATTCACATAGATGTACGTAACACAGTCTCCACACACACACATATCTCGTTCTGCTGCTGCCTGATTTTTTTGTTCCCCTCTCTAATCAAGAAGTGCCCAAACAGATTTAAATGAAACTTTGTGAAAACAAAATAATTGGATCGGGGCTGAGAACATGAATGCCAAGCTTGGGCCCAGCGTGAATTAAAGCAGATGAGTTATAAACCCTTCAAAAACAGGATTTATAATGGAAACGCTGACACGGACCCGTAACAATAGCAGCTCTGCCAGGGATTATTTTAATACTAAAAGCATACTCGATCGCTCACTTTTTAAAATAGAGGTTACTTAGTCACTAAAAAGCAGTGATACGCAATAATAATGAAAGCAAACTTTAAAAAAAAAAAAAACAAACGTTCCTAAGATGACATGTCGTTCCCCCTGTAACTCTCTTGATATCGCTTATATGTGACATGACACTCCTTAAATAAAAAAAAACCCAAACCACAAACCCCAAACACACCAAGGTGGAGTTTGCCATAAGCTCCATGGCACGGCTGAGCCGAGAGGCTTTGTCAGATTCGTTTAACAGTTTCTTGCCCGTGGAAAGAGACAAAAGGGTTAAGGGAGGAAGAGCAGGGAGCACAGCTGATGGAACAAGGGCAGGAAGAAAGGAGCAGCCAGGGAGGCGCAGGGAAGAGCAGGGCGAAGATTTTAGGAGGAGGAACTGTGTTTCCAAAGGAAATGACTCAGTTTTTCAAGAGATTTTGGGGAAGCATTTGCAAAAAAAAGGCCAGGCAAATGGAGAAAAATTGGTAGGGGGGAAGCCCTGCGAGTTTATGCCTGCGAGCGTGTTGCCCTGCCAGGAGCAGGTGCACCCCAGTTGCATCGCACCGGGGTAAGGCAGGGACGAGCAACGGGCTTCCGAAAAAAGGCATTGCTTGTTAAAGCTTTGCGTTGTACGCCCAGTTTCCCACAAATGCCTCTATTCTTTTGGGAATATCAAAACCCGCTGAGGGGTGCAAGGGGATGGTATCTCTGAGCTGGCAGGACGTTTGTTTGCTCCCATTATCCTGCACTTTGGGGCAACATGCTGTGCTCAAAATAACCCACACCCCAAAAATCACTCCCAGCAGCATCGCACAAAAACTACTTTTTGTGACCGTGCTGTGTGTTATAGCACAGGCTTTACTTCCCCATTCCTACCTTCCCTTCCTTGCCTCATTTTATTTTTTTCTTTTCTTTCCTGGGTACCAAGTACACCAGAGGGGCTCAGATCAATAAAAGACAGCACTTTTTGTATAAACAATAACCATATTAACAACCACAGGGCAGCCGTACCTGTAGGCAGGGATAGCACCAAATGTTGGCACGTCTATCCGTGCAGCTAGACGACTGCTAAAAAGAAGCAGCTCCAGTGGAAATGCACCTACTGTATGTGAAATGCTGGTGCAGATTTTTTTTTTCTTTTTTTTTTTTTTTCTTTTTCTATCAGTCTAACCTTCTGTGTTGATACATGAATGCTGGTACCCACTTAGAGGGATGCCAGATGATCAGTGCAGAATGAAGGTCCCAGGAGAAAGGCTCACGTGGTTTTCTCTGCCCCGTGACGTCACTAGCAGATGGCATGGGTACCAGCTCTGGCAGTTGGCATCAATGTCACTTTTTAGAGATCAATGAGATAGTGCAGATATACACAGATCTAGACTCCAGGAGACGATGCGACATTCAGACTGAAAAGATTTGGAAGGCAAAAAATGAAAACTGATTGTTGAATGAAATAAAAAGATAAGGTAATACCAATAAAGATATATTTCAGTTGGTGCTGGGTGTGCATGCAAGTGTTTAAGGATACAATATCATTGTCTTGTATTTTATGTATGCTATTTACTGTCTAATAACTCCTCCTAACATTTTATTCTTCTGATGCAATTGCAGACTTTCATTGGTGTTATGTAATATTGCAAGTGTGTAGACAATACTGGTAGAGTTAGTCTTTGACTGGGGTTTTTGTTTAGTTTTGTTCTATTAAAAAAGTCCCTGCGTTCGTTTTGTTTGTTTCTTTGAGGACCGTAGGGTCCAAGCTTTTGCTGCTCCCAAACTGCAAACAAAAGCAAAAGAATTGGGGAAAAGGAAATTATTTTCCCATTCCAGGCTGGATTCTGAGCACACGTGCAGGATTGCAGGCAGAATCTACAGACCGCTCCTGTCAGCTGCGAGCTGGAGGGGAGACGTCTGAGCCTTGCAGAACATAAACACTGCTATAGTGCGCAGGGAATTTTTCACCTCCCACCCTACCACAATTGATGTGGGAGAAAAAACAAAAGAGGAGGAAAGAAAAAGAGAAAAAGCAAATAAGTTGATTCTAACCAAATATATAATATTAATTAGAATTTTTGCTGGGAAAAACGAAAAAAAAAAGGTAGGGGGATTTTATTTCCTAACTCTAATAGGAATATTTTTTGGGTTAAATCGTTCTGATTTTTGTTGTAATATGAAATAAGTAATATGTGATCATTAGAAAAAAATATTCTTTTTAAATTATTTTACTAGCTGAGTGATCTGGGGGGGAATGTTCCATTAATTTTTGTTTCTCACCCTCTCTAACTTAATAGAGTTTAATATCTTGATTCATAAGGGAAGAAACGTGGAAGGAAAAAAATAATCCTTTGAAATAGAAGCCTAAAAGTGATTTTAAAATATTTAACCATCAGTTAATAGAGATATGGCACTTCTCAATTTTAAGACTGTTCTCGCTCTCCTCATTTTTCCACCCAGGGGAATTTGGATTAGTGAAATTTCTGTATTGCTTTATCATGTTTTGCATTTCTTTGAATTCCACGGTGGCAAGAGTTCGAAGGGCTTGTTTAAAAATAGTATTAATGAGCAGGGAGCTAATTGTACATTTTAAAATATTGTTTTAATCTATACTTATCTGTGAGAAATGTGGCTTTTTAGTTGTAAGTTCCTGAATGTTTCGATCGATTTTAAAATTCTGGATAGCTTTTATTTTTTAAATAAAGAAGTGAGGATTTGCAATTGGCATTTTATGAGAAAAATGTAGATTGTGTGTTTATATATCTACACACACACTCATTCACGCAGAGTGTGCACACAGACGCACAAAAGGTGCATGAGGACGTGTGTGTAAGTCAGCAAACTTTAAAAACACGGAAATATTTAAATATTGTGCTGGCATTTTTTCAGGTAACTTAAGATTGTAGAACCATGTTAACACTACCGTTTGATGAGTCTGTTGTAATGCCAGAATCCCAGATGTGCAGAAAGTTTTCCAGAGAAAGTGATGACCAAAAGCAAATTAAGAACCCAGAAAGCTTTTCCAAGCAGATCGTGCTCCGAGGAAAGAATATTAAAAGATCACCTGGAGAAGACACAGAAAAAGAGGAGGAGGAGGAAGAGAGAGAAGAGGAGGATGAGAATGGCTTGCCTAGGCGAAGGGGCCTTCGGAAAAAAAAGACGAGCAAGATAAGGATGGAAAGGATCAAATTCAGGCGGCAAGAAGCCAACGCTAGAGAGAGGAACCGGATGCACGGCCTTAACGATGCCCTGGACAATTTAAGGAAAGTGGTCCCTTGTTATTCAAAAACACAAAAACTGTCCAAAATCGAAACTTTAAGACTAGCCAAGAACTACATTTGGGCTCTTTCCGAAATCCTGCGAATTGGCAAGAGACCTGACCTGCTCACTTTCGTCCAAAACTTGTGCAAGGGTCTGTCCCAGCCAACGACAAACTTGGTGGCGGGATGCCTGCAGCTGAATGCCAGAAGTTTCCTGATGGGTCAAGCAGGTGAAGGCGCCCATCACACCCGCTCACCCTATTCCACCTTCTACCCCCCCTACCACAGCCCCGAGCTCGGCACCCCCCCAGGGCACGGGACTCTCGACAACTCCAAGTCCATGAAACCTTACAATTATTGCAGCGCTTACGAGTCCTTCTATGAAAGCACTTCCCCTGAGTGCGCCAGCCCACAGTTTGAAGGTCCCTTAAGTCCTCCCCCAATTAACTATAATGGGATATTTTCCCTGAAGCAAGAAGAAAGCTTGGACTATGGCAAAAATTACAATTACGGCATGCATTACTGTGCAGTGCCACCCAGGGGTCCCCTTGGGCAGAGCTCTATGTTCAGGTTGCCTACAGAGAGCCACTTCCCTTACGACTTACATCTGCGCAGCCAGTCTCTCACCATGCAAGATGAATTAAATGCAGTTTTTCATAATTAATGAGGAAAATGAAAATAAACAGTGGTCATTCACCTCCCCATCTAATTAAGAGCAAGCAGATGCTTGGGCACTGCGTAATTGGCACAACTCTATTTAACGTGTTTACTAGTTCCTGAAGTGTGTTTCAACTATTGTGGGGATTTTCTATGTATTAATAAACCCATTTTCCGATAAGTATTTTTCCTTTCATTTTTTTTTGTCTGTAAACACTGTGAGATTCTGTTTTCTCCCAGAGGTTATTCCCCCCCCCCCCCCCCATTTTTTTTTTCCTTCTCTTTTTATTTCCCTATTTGCTTGATTTGTTGAGCAGTGTGTCTGAACAATATCGCTGAAATGAAAGCGTACACACTGTGTAAAGTCAATGTCTATTTTGATTGTACAGTAATTATACAAATGCATGTTATTGAAATCAGATTAATAAAAATGATGTATTTATAATTGGTAGAAAATATATATTATGTATTTGAGGAGAACTGGATTAAAAATATTCAGAACTTTAAAGAAATTATCTCAGAACTGAGATGGGCTTGCAATATGCAGAGGTGAGAGTGCAGCAATATCGAAAGCTATGCAAAAAAAAAAGCAAACAAAAAAAAAACCACAAAACAATTTTTGGGTTGTTGTTTTTGGGTAAGCTAAGGAAAACCAGTGATTTGTCACTGACATTATTCAGCCTGACCTTTAGAGTGTTGCTGGCAGGGGACACATGCTAATATTTTAGAAGATGTTGTCGAAATTTTGACCATATATTATCAGCACTTTTTTTTGTATTATTATGACTTCAGATGTAAAGGTTTGTTATAACGCTGTATAACTGTGGTTTCTCACTACGTACTTTAAATGCAATTAAACATAGATGTTTCCACTTTTAAAATACATCTGTTAGCTGTGATACTGTATTTTGCCTGATACTTATTATTTCACAGTATACAGCTACCTTTGCTCTTGCCTACACAGTCTTCCTTCCTGCACCCCCATAGTGCTCGAGCCTGGGATGGAAATCGTGAATTATCAGGGTGAACCTCGTGCTATTTTCAGAAGGATGTATTAGCATCGTGGCAAAAGCAGACCCAAAATATCACTGAGACAGCTGCATGCTAAATGAAACACAGGTTAGAGGAAGAAGGTAACTCTTATAGCTCAACGAAATGCCAAATTGCATACGGGAAGGGGCCCTGAGCGGACACCCAGGCCAGCGGCTGTCCCTCCAGCTCTGGCTCACGGAGCGATGCAGAAGCATGGGAAGCTCCTGCAGAGAGGACTCTCTGAACATTGCTAAACTTAGTCCTGGCTAATAAACAGCACCAGTAAACTACAGATGTATCTGCAGCCCACATTAGTTCAGGGGTCTGCACGACCCCTCAGACCTTAACAAAGCTGAGCTCAGCTGAGCCTCGGTCGTTTTCTAGCCGCTCAGAGTTATTTCTCCATAAGTTGCACAAGTGACAAAGTGAATGAACAGCTGAGCTAAAAGCCAACAGCCTTTAAACCTGAGAGCAAGCAAGGCCTCTTGATTTTGGGGGATGAATATCAGCTATCTGACAAGCATTCACCTGAGGTACCAAAATGCTCTGCTGTGAATGAGTAGGGAATATTTTTTTAAAAAACTATATAAAAAGTACAAATTCCACCTGCAAGTTAGAGACTCTAGCTGAATCACAGTCTGGGTCACAGGTTGTTAAAGCCACGTGAAACTCAGACCTTCACTTGAGTTTGCAGCTTGACAAAGAGGGGACGGGCCAATTTTTCCTGATAATTTGCCTTAATTTCACAAGTGCGAGTTGTTCTAAACAGTCTGCCCCATCAAGCATCGGAGCTCCTTCAGGACGACAGTAGCCTGACCTTCATCTCTTCTAGTTAAAACCAGGCTACCCCAGCTGCTGGAGAGGGCTAACAAGTCCCAAAGTTTGGATCAGGGTCTAAATGCTCCCAAGCTTGCAGAGGGAAGGTGGCAGACATCGGGTTTTGCTCAACCAACATCCTCTCTAGACACAAATATCAGCTGGAAAATAAAGTCTTTTGAAGTCTTGAGTCACAGTTCAGGGGTCTGGTTCAGGATGATCCCATCTTTCATCAGGGCCAGGAAGGTACAGGCAGGGGTTTTCTGCCATGGATGAAAGGTGATGGTGATGGTTGTCAGCTCAAAAGCATCCCCACGTGTTTTGCACCAAATATAAGAGGGCTTTGAAAGAGAAGAGGGTAAAACAGATTGCTTTTGCTGTTATTCAGAACTAGCATGGAAAGGTGACAGGAGAGAGCAGAAGGGGGAAGAAGCCAGCCAAGGAGAAGAAAGCACGCCGTCCCGGGCACAGATTCGCACGAAGAGATGCTGGGATATACTAATATATCACAAGGATATATAGGCAAGTGGCCCAGAAACAGGGGATCCTTTGAAGGTGGGGGGTGGGAGGTATCCTCCTGCTGAGCAGTAGCAGCAAACTTCTCTAACCAAGTTTTTTAAGAGGAGCGTCCTTCAGGAGGCTGAAAGTTAGCCGAGAGCCTCGCAGCAGCGGTGCTACCCCGGTAAGGGTGCGTTTGCGTAAGTTGAGAGCAAAGCGAGGAAGCAGCTGTAAAGTCCTGCACCGAGGGAAGGAAGTGCCTGCTGTAATACGTTCAGCAGACACCCGAGGGGTGTTAAGACTTCAGGCTCTGCAATCTGGGGGTCTCCAGCTCTGTGGCCCTATATTAACTCAATAACTCATGGGCCAGTTCCAGTTTCCCCTTCTGGCAGAAGAAGCAAAAAGGAAAGGGGAAAAAAAAAAAAATATATATATATCCCTGCCAGTTCGGATCTTTCTCGCACACTCCATGACAGATGGGGAGGCAACTCACAGCCAGATTCCCCCTCTGGTAGCTCAAGGCGGGCACCACACTTGCACAGAGAATTGCAAATTGGAAAGCCAGTCCAGAATAAATAATGGAGCAAGTCGTAGAAAAATATTGAGACAGCATTAAAACTCCCTGACATTCCCTGCCCAGGAGGGTATTTAGAGATCCAGAGGTAGGGGATTCCCTCGAGAGCAGGCTCTCTCACATACCTTCTCTTCCACACGCACGACAAAGATTTTTGTGCTCCTTCCTTGGCCAGTCACAGAACATAAGGTGCTCTGAGCTGTGATGTGATTTATAAAAGCCTTTGAAGTTGTCTTATTTTAGAGAACAAATCTAAGCATCAACAAAGTTCTGGTGCTTTAAACTCACAGGAATAAAAGCCAGTGGGTTTCTTTACCCAATCTCTGCTTTATAAGGTTTGTCTCCTTTCAATCCCATTCATACAGCAAAACAGAGCTGCTCATTTCTGCCGGCCTTGTTCTCCTCCTAACTGCCTTCACTTCCTTGAGGATAGAAATATGTAAAATAGCAACTGCACCAGAAAAAAATAGGTGAGAAGTTTCTATTCTCCCCTGTCCTCTAGCACAAGAGTAATGAAGCCTTCTGTCAGTTTTAGAGGTGGGAACCCCAAAGCTGGCAGAAGAAAAGCTATTTCATATGTGGTTTTGTTACACAGTGGAACCCTTTGCCATTTATTATTTCCCAGAGCATCATTTTAGTGAGATTTTTAAAAAGCACTGAGTGATTTTATGGTATCAGAAATACACTAATTATTTAAGAATGGCTGTACTGCTTCAGATTAAACATCCATCTAACCTAATATTCTGTTTCCTACATGAGGGTATTAAAAAAAAAAAAAAAAAAAAAAGACGCCCAAATAATGTCAGAACAGGGTGAAGAAAAAAAAAATATTTGTTTTACTAATAAAAATGCTGGAAAAGAAACTAAACATCATGTTCCAGGATTTCAGCCAGCCCTGTTGAAGACAGGGATGTGCCTGAATTGGAAAAAAGGGGTGGGAGGCACGACAGCATGCTGCAGGGTTTGCACCTTTTCCTCTGCAACACTGAGCTCACAAGTAACCACTGAGTGGGATGGACTGGGTAGCGCTAGGCTGTACCTCTGTACTCCATCTCAGAAAAAAAACCTCATCAGGAGTAAAATTTAAGACCAGTGGCCCCATCCTCACAGTCCTACAAATCCCAGCGTGACTTCAAAGAGAGAGGGACGGGTAACCACTCCTTTGCCAGAGCTCGGGGGAGACCTCAAAGCTCCTCTGCGTTACAGGACGAATACGTTCATTTTGGGACACATCCTGGCTGTGCTCCCTTTGGGACTGTCTGCATTCTGTCACTTCATAGCTACCTACACAAAGATTTTTTAAATGTGTGGAGATTTCACAGGCACAAACATGATGGCAGGTTTTTTTTTTTCTAACCTAGCAGTTCCTTCTCCCATTTTACCCCTACTTTTCTCTTCTCCCCTTTGCCTGTAGGGCTCTCAAACAGCAGCAAATTAAGTGAAATGCCATCAATAAAGATGAATGAAATCCCAGTGAAACACATGGCAGAATCTTTCCTTGCAAAAGCAAATAATACTTGCCGAAATTTAAAAGTAGATGCATGTTTTTTGTTTTTCAGCTTGAGAATACAGCTTAACTCAAGCCTGTGGTTATATTTTATGGTCCAAGGTCAAAGCAGGTTTATTCCTAGTACCAGAATCCTACAGATTTTGATGTACAAGTACCAGAGATAGTACTGCTTTGGGCTGAATTGTTATGTAAACAGGTCCCCTTATAAAATTTCAGCAATTTCCAAATTAAAAGCAAAACCAAGCACAGAAAAAACCAAACAAAACCCAAATAAAAACCCCCTACCCCCCAGTAATCTGGCTGTGGGTCTGACCCAGAGCTGAACCATGGCAGCAGGTTGTGATTTTGCTCTGGAGAGACACAGATCAGCCTGGCGAACAGCTGGCGCCGTGCCACCACAGAATCTCAAGGGCAGACCTGTCGTGTCTCACTGATACAAATCTAACTACCGTACATGGGGCTGCCATGCAGAATCGCACTCCCAAGCTCTCTCCGCCACACAATCAGACCTGAGTGGAGTCGTCTCACAAAATTCTTGCACGTTATGCCAAGAGGATGGCCTATTTTCCTGCAGAGCCTTCTCCCTTACCCCAGAAGATGTGCAAGAACAAGCTAGGAAAAGAGAAAGGAAAGCCAAATTCACAGGCAAAATAGCTTAAGGGAAAAAAAAAATCTTTTTTTTTTTTTTTAATGCCTGCAATATGGAGTTTTTATAACTCGCAACGGGCTTTGAGTTGGCATCACCCACAAAGGTTGTTACAGTCCTGTAAAGAGGTTTCCTCCCCCTTCTCCCCGAAAACCATTGTTTTCTCTTGGCTGTTTTTCTTTGTCACTAGCCCTGTAGACTTCCACATTTATCCCTGTAACTGTGCTACTTACACTAACTAATTTTAGGATGCCATGTATGTAGAACATACCATACAGAGACAAGCCAGATCTAGCTGCAGCTGAATGCTGGACTACTTCAGTAAGCTAAAAAAAAAAATGGAACAGAAAAACAACCTTTATGATTTATCATTTTTCTAGGATTTTCAGTGTATCCCCATCCTCACCCCAACCTAGTGAACATTGTTTGAACTTTTTCTTCTTTTCCCCTTCTTTTTTTTTTTGGATTGGAGTTGATTAATATGTGAAATAGTATTTTTCAAG